GTAATATCAATCAAAGTCTTAGAACAACTGTAGTAGATGGCAATTTTTGATCATTTGGAAAGAAATCCAAATGCAAAAGTGAAAATGTGTGAGAAGGAAGAGCAAATACTTCCTGAGCATAGCACCTTAATCTTACATTTCCTACCCTTATTAATTCATTGTACATTTTGCAAGTTGCATCAGCTCATTTCATGGGCAAAAGAGGATGAGAAAAGCTATACATAATGTAAAAAAATGTATTCATTTTATGAAATTTTGTATTCTTTTCCAGCCAGTTCAGGACAAACTCAAATAAACGGTTTTCTTAGAATGCAAACTCAAATCACATAGAAACTTGTGGGAATTAAGAATATAATGTTAAGAATGCACTAAGGATGTGTGAGGGAGGGGGGTGTGGGCTTAACAAAATGCCTACATGAATTAAGATCTTAGAGTAGAAGGTTTATCTAGGGATTATGGGAGTAAAATTTACAGGAACATTAAACTGAAAGAACCACCTTAACCATGGTGTCCCCTGAAATCATGAAAAACTGTGTAGCAGATACCAAATTTAGGAAATGCCTGTATTGCATGCATAGTGTCTGCAGGGGCCTGCAAAGGCCTAGCAAGTACTACTTCCCAGCACTCTATAAGAAACTTCCAATATGTGGTAGAAGGCCAAAAGCCAAGTGTTATGTCACAAGAAAGGAGAAGAGATCAAGAGCATCAGTGGTCTTGGTCCTCTGTGCAAACAAGATCTTTATATCTCTAGATGATTTTAAGAAGCAGACATGTCCTACAGTGTCAAAGAGGGTGAAATGTCCAACAGCAGCAGCTACTGAGACTTGGAAAAATCCCGAACCCAGATCTGATGTATCAGGAAGCTTAGATTCTTTCTTAGCTCTGAGATAGCTTGCTGTATGATCTTCTGGCAGATTATCTTGTCTCATGGGGCTCCAACTGACTCCTTGTAAAATGTACATAGCTGAGCTTCTGGGAGTGTTAGGAATCCTACTTGATATAAAATAGTTGAAGTTTTCTTCAAATGAGAGGTACTCAATAAAGACAGGAAGAGTTATAACCAAAAAGGAGAATCTAATTAATAACAAGAACTCTGAGAAGTAAACAGTTAAACTTTACAAGTTCTTTACAGTATAAAGCATCATAAATTTGGAGACACAGGGGAAGGATATATCATCAGGTTCAATAACTGTGTAGAGATAGGAAAAAAATTTTAAAAAGCACAGAAATGTCAAGTATATTCAAAAAATGTCTATGCTGTTCAAGAGTTCATTAAGTTCAAATTAAGATTGAGTGCAGCTGCAAGCCTAAATCAAAATACATTCTACTGTACATCAGGTAATTTGAGTAAGCACCTGTGAAAGTTTTTTTCTCTGTGAAAAGTATTTTTTTCAGTACATATTATGATAAAACCAGTATCTCCTGATACTTGTTTTTACTCCTTATGACTGCCTTCAATAAATTATGCTTTGGTCTCTGTTACTCACAACACAATTCTGCAGCATTACTTGTCTTATTTGGTCTCTACTCATTGACTGTTGGGTTAGAATTGACAGATGTCACTGGCAAGTTCTAAAAATCTTTATTGACCAACATGTGACACAGGCAGAGCTGAGCAAGGTTTTAGAGCAGCAGTAAGACATCTAACCAAAATATGTAATGAAGACAGTTGTTGCCAGAATCCCAGCAGAAAGGTGTTGAGGTTCAGCTGCTGCTCTGTTGAGCCTGTTTTCGTTAATTAAGGATTTACAGGGTTTTCTACTGCCATCTGCAGATTGTTGTAGGCAGCTGCTGTTACAATTTTTCTATAAAAGTCTGAATCTTCTCTTAAGGCTGCACCATACAAAGCTGAATGGAAGTGAGAAGTCTGCAGAAGCAATTAAAGATATGAAGCCAAAGAGGCCTCTCTGCTGGCCACAGATCACAGTGACCATTCTTATACTTTGGCAGAGGTTCTGCTCTGGGTAAGACTCTTGTGATGAGAGAGGTAGCAGTCTCTGGTGTTCATTACTACTTGTTTAATAGAAATACTCCATTCTGCTTGCTCTGGTTTGTATGTGTACACCCTGACATCATCCTTCAGGCAGAAGGCTCAGGTTAACTTCACTTCTACCTGAAACTAATTACAGTGGCTGAACAGTCACCTCAATGGAGTATTGCTTGAGGCAGCGACGGCAGCAGATGGTAAGGAGCTTCTGATAGTGGGGAAAAATTAAGGGCAGTGAGCTCTTATTTTTTGGTACACCTGGATAAATAAGAGGGTGTCCACCTGTGGCCTACTAACTTCTTAGTTTAGATGAGGACAGTCTCTTCCTGAGAAAATAATGCACTTCAGAAGCATCAGAATAAAGTGATTTTTCAGCCTTATGAAATGACAAAACCAACTGCCATACTTAGTTCTGTGTCACTCTCACATTCAAGACGTAGCTATGTGAAGGTGTTTTTAGATAACAAAGGATTATCTTCCCATGTGGCATGTGTTACGTTTAGAGTGTCTCCAGGTTTAAGTCTGTTTAGACAAGTAGTATATTCTAGTCTAGTCTAGTCTAGTCTAATCTATTCCATTCCATTTCATTCCATTCCGTCAAAGCATAAGCCTTTCAGAACAGTGTCTCTTCCTAAGACATAGAAAGAAAGGACTCAAAGCTGCTGTTT